GGCCCGGCAGTGCCCGGGCTGCCCCCCCGAGGGGCTCCCAGCACCTGCCCTGTGCCGGCCCAGCTCTGACCCTGCAGGGACTCGGGGCTGGTGAAACAGGGACAGGGAGGGGCTCAGGGGACCCGGGGCCTTACGTAAAGGGTTTGTGGTGACCCTGCAGCTGCAGGGGGGAGATGACTGCGCTTCATTAGAAGTGAAGTTGGAAAATCAGCAACATCTGGTGCCTGATGCTAGGACACTTCCCTGGCACGCGAGGAGAGTCTCCAGTTGTCCTCTCAGATTAAGGGATTTTGCTCTTTGCTCCCAGTTTTGTGCATGCGGAACAGGCTGGCCCTGGCGGGCTCAGAGGTCCCTTGCTGCAGCGGGCGCCTGCCCAAACCCCCAGCCCAGCCCACGGAGCAGTCTGCACTCTGGCCAGCCCTGCACGGACACCCCACCCTCGGGAAGTGTCTTTTGGGGTGACTCTGGGGCAACGTGGAGCTCGCGGCTCTGGCAGCCCGGCCCCAGCGCCCCGCACCCCCCCAAGCAGGTGGCTGCAGCTCGCTGCATGGTATTTATTCATTATATCACAGAGAAGAAAATCTCATTAAATTAGTCCAGGTTTCTGAAGGGTGGTCCCAGGCAGGGACACTTGGTGCGGGTGGGTGAAGGGTGGCCGGGGCGGGGGTCCAGCATTTCATCATTTCACAGTGATGGGAGATGGGGCAGAGACGCCGTCCCGCGCCGGCGCTGGCCGTGCCCCGAGGGGGCCCCTCAGACCTCCAGCTTCTTCTTCATCTCCATGCGGTAGATGATCTGGTAGCCGTCGTCCCAGGCGTAGATCTGCCTCTCCCGGGGGCTGTACTTCATGCTGGAGTGGGAGCCATAGCGCTTGGGGAAGTAGACGAGGGAGGCGTCCTCGGGGGCCAGCGTGCCGCTGACGTCGAAGACGCACTGCACGCGGGCGCGGCTGGGCAGGCGGGTGTTGTAGACCACGTGCAGCGCCCCGCACACCACGAAGGCGCCCTCGGCGTTCTCTCGCGGGCACGGCGTGTCCCACATCTGCTCGATGTCCAGAGAGGTGGGGTCCAGCTTGGCCAACTGGATGTTCTTCTCATCCTCCTTGGTGGCGTAGATGGCCCAGAGCCCCTCCTCATCCGCCGCCACCTCGATGTAGGTGAAGGGGGAGAGCCCGAAGACGGGGATCTGCTCCTCGGCCGGGAACACCGAGCTGTCCACCACCGTCTTGTTGGCCAGGTTGAACTTGATCACCTGGAAGGGGCCCTGCTGGCGGATGTAGTAGAGGTGCCCGTCGTAGACGAGGTGCCCAGTGCCCACCCAGGGGTAGGGCAGCTTGATGCGGGCAGCCTTGCGGGTGGCAGAGAAGAGGGTGAACTCCCGCATGCGGGGGAAGACGTACACCGTGTCATTGGCAGTGCCGTCGAAGACGTAGATCTTCTCGGAGTTCCCGGCCGCATCCTTGGTCCAGAGCCCCGAGGTGCTGCCGAAACGTTTCAGGATCTTCATGGCTCTGACGCTGGCGATGGTGTCGCTGCAGTCTGCAAGAGCGGGGCGGCCGTGAAAACCTGGAAGCCACCCTGCCCAGTCCCCCCCTGCGCCAGTCACCCGTGTCCCCTGCGCCCCACCCCAGCCCTCAGGAGCTGCCCGGCAAAGGCTGCAGAGGCTGCGGTGCTGTCCTGTCCCCGGTGACATCGAGAAGTTCCCTTGTGTCCCCGTGCCATGGGCAGGGGAGGCCACCCTGTCCCCAGCCCTGCCCCAGGGGCTTTGGAGAAGCCCAAGAGTCTGGCCTGGGGCTTGGATGTGGCTCCCAGGCAGCTCTGGGGTGCAGGATTTTGTGCCAGAGACACCCAAGAGATGCCCTGTGGGGATGTTGTGCCGTGGCACATGGGCGGGGAGGCTTGGGCCTGGGTGGGCTGGGGAGGCCCAGGGTAACCCCGCACGCGGGGGGTCAGGGCAGCCCCTCACCTGTCAGCTTGGTGTATTTCTCATTCTTCCTCTGCTTGGCTGTGGCCACCTGCTTCTCCATCAGCGTTTCATCCACCTCCACGCAGGGCGGTGCGGGGTTCTGCGTCTCCAGGTAGTCCACCTCACGCTCCAGCCGGTCCACGCGCACCGCTGCGCTTTCTGCCTCCGACCTCATCGCCTCCCGCTCCTTCTCCGCCGTCTCAAGCATCCCCAGCACCTGGTTCTTGAAGTCCCGCAGCTCGGTGGAGTAGCGGCTGCTCTGGTCGTGCCACTGCGAGATCCTCTCCTGGGGCAGCCAAGGGGACGTTGAGGTCCCGGCACTTCGCGGCCGCCGTCCCGCGGCCTGTGCGCGGCTGTGGGGGCCCC